GTTTTAACCCTTACTTTAACATAGGCGTGGCCGCCTTATGAAAGTAGGAATTAGAATGTACATTTCGGACATACTTCGGAGCCGCTTTTCAAAGTAAGATACGTATGTATAATGTAGAGCATTCACTCGGAGAACTTCGGCACTCGGAAATAATTTCGGCGGCACGGTATTTTGTAACTAACAACGTAAGTCGTTATCGGAGGTGTTTATTTTGTGTTTTATGCTAAAAGGTGATAGAAAACATGAACATTTTTACCTATTTTCCTAGTAAGATGAAAAATAAATCCGGTTTATCCGGTTTTTCTTAATTTTAAAATCGGGAACAGATTTTTTCAAATTGCAAACCGGTTTTGGAAAAAAGGGGTTGACTTTCCAATAAGTGTGGTCGTAAAAGGGGCGGTAGGTGAAGGGGGAGTGGGCGTGGCACATCCAACTACCCTACCTATGGTTCCCTAGGGACCATTGGAAAAATGGCCAAAAAACACAATTTTCATTTGCGTTTTTTCGCTTAAAAAATGTTGAATATTCATTTGCACGAGGCAATTTATATACCCTTGACAACAGAAAAGGTGCCTGCCCCTCTTCTCCGGCAACAAGGATTAGATTAGATTAGAGAATTAATTAATTAGGAGAATTTTACTTAGTAAGGGTTATAATTCCAAAGCGCGGCCGAAGGCCGCGTACGAAGAAAGGAGATAATTGCAAAATACCGTGGATACCGGGGCCGGAGTTATATGCACAAGAAATGTTATACACTTTTGACAAAAGAAGAGGGGCTTTTTCCTCTCTTCTTCTCCCCCTCCTCCCTCTTCTCTTCGGCAGCACTGAAAGGAGAATTCTACGGGTAATAATCCCTAATAATTACTAAGGGTAATAATCCCTAAGCGCAGCCAAAGCACGCCTACGCAGAAATGATTTATAGCAAAAAGACTGAGGACTCAAATGCAAATTGTGATTTTTGGCCATTTTTCTAAGGGGTCTCTTACGACCAAGAGAGGGCCTTGATGGTCGGGGGTTACATTTTCGTCAATGGCGGTTGATGCCCTCTCCAAAAAGGTGGGACCGGAACTCGGATACCATGTAAAAAATAAGAGCGGGATACGGATTTCCGAACGGCTTTTTCGTGCTGAACTATCCAATACGTAGTTAAGAACACAAGATTTCTCCCCTGAAATTCAAATCATAAAATAATCCTATATTAAAAATATAAGTTTTCCGTCTGCATCATTAATTTATTGATTATTTTTGGTAAATAGAGGAGAAACGTCAAAAAACAAAAGATAAAAAACAATGAACACTGCTAGGTAAAAGCGCGTGGTTGATGTATTTAAAAAAAAAAAGATGATAATGGTACTACTATGGTACTAATGGTACTGCTAATGGTACCGATAACTCAAAAAATCTCTTCGTATGCCCGGATAGCCCGACAACCCTAACACCTTTTCCCTGCGGACCGCTTCTTAGGGCTGCCATTAGTGGAACTTGACGACAACGACTGAGATATTATCCGATGTGGGCGGGGTTGTTGTAACCGCTACAACAACAACAATAACAGAACGCGTAACAAATAAACTCACTTTCGGACTTATAATATTAGTAAAGATGACATCGTTGTATTAAATTTCATGTAATTGTTTGATTATTTAAAGCGTGAAAGCGTAGCAAATAAACAAACTGATTTTCGGATTTATAATATTAAAAAGGATTGCAGTTTTTTTTATTTTTTAATGAAAAAATTAAAAAAAAAACCAAACTTTACCATAAGAAACATGAGCAGGAAAGAAAGTAACCCATATTTCATACAAATACAATTTTTGCGCATTTTCATTTGACCACTCATTATTTCTTATGTATCCATCGATTTTCTTCAGTAGTAACTTTATTTAGGTTTGTGACAGAAAAGGCTTTAGCACAGATGCAAAAATTTCGCACAGAACCTTTTATTTTTAAAATTTTTCTTCTGTTAAATTTTAATTTTTTTTTTAATTTTTTCATACAAAAAAATAGAATAATTAATTTTTTTGGCAGAAACTAGTAAGTCCCATCGGAAAGTGATGTATACACGGTTAATGAAGAATTTTATTAGCTTTCATTTGACGTATTACATATTTAGATTGTTTAATTGGTTTGTAAGATATACGCGACTAAATGGAACCACTTTTTGATTTAAGCAGAATAACGGTAAATTGAAAATATCTTGAAAAAGTATCCATAGAAAAAAATTAAATCCATTTTTAGAATCACCGAGCAATTCTACATAGGGATTGGATAAGGGCATCCATAGAACATTTTAGCTGTAAACCAGTGTAACTTGTTGAGGTGGCAGTGCTACTTGAGAAATTTACGAAAAGTATAAACGTCATAAGCACAGTTTATGTAAAAAAAATTTCAAAGTGAAACTACCTTCTGTCATCCCTGCAAACCAAAGTTCCTGAAATCTTAACGAAATCTTTAGGAGTATTCCATTTCTGTAACGATTTTTTTACGGACCTAAAAAGAAAAATATAAGAAGTGGTTGATACGAACTCGTAAAGAAATTTGTGTACGAAAAATAAAGAAAATTCTGAAAAAAATTTGCAAGAAATTCTTCACATAGCAGCATCAATATCATTGCTTTACCGATTTTCTTCCGAAATTTCGTAAAAGAATCGAAGTGTTCACGGCTTATTTCATTTTAGAAAATTCGGAAAAAAATCGGAGGAAATCTTTACGAATTCTTTAAAATTTCTCTATCATTCAAAAATGGTTTGCAGGGATGATAAAAGTCTAGCTGGTATACAACTAACACCATATAAATTTAGATTTTAAACTATGTACAAAAATTAAAAAATTCTGCTTATTTTCACCAAAATTTTGAACTTTTTAAACAGAATTTTGGTAAGCAGTTTTATAGGCCATTTAATTCTAGTATAATGAAGTGCAAGTTTCAAGCTGCTATAAAATCTCTTAATTTTTAGCAACTGTTCTCCATATAAAAGAAAATTGTCGAACATACTTTTGTATGGACAGAACTTAAATCACTTTCAACCAAAGAAATTCATTTTTTGATCTGTCGGCAAAGAATCGGCGAAAAAAGGCCGATGCCGGACTCTATATGTAAGAAAAAATAAATCAATAAAAGTTGTTTCATTTAGGAACGGAGCTAAGAGCTGAGCTCGCTTGTACAGGTTGTGCAATTTTTTTGTCATGTCAGAAACTGATGCCAGGCGAATTTATATAAGGTGGTGTTACCAGACCAGCTGATTTTGTGTATGTGTTTCGCCTTACGGCTTCTAATGTCAAATTGAAAAATTTTGCTTGAATTTCCACACACACACTTACAGATTTTGACAGTTTATGCCGCCAAAGCAAAAACAAAATACATGTAAATTTTTGTTTTTGCTCTCCTGCTACCAACTTATACTAATTCGCCTTGAACTGATGTATACATATATGGTTTATGGAGAATTTTATTAGCTTTGATTGGACATATCTCGTTTTAATATTGCTAAATTGGTTCGTAAGATATACGTGATTAAGTGGAACCACTTTTTGTTTTAAACTGAATAACAGTATCCAGATTTTTTTTTACCACCTGAGTAAAACACATCGTTTCTTGGTACTGAATCCAAATCTGGCCACGTAATGGCTCTAGCACTAGAATTTTGAGATATCCTAACCTCGAAAGTGCCAAAAACACGGTTTTTGCGATATTTGAGGTTATATAATGAAAACATCCAATATTTTTAATAAAGGTTCATAGAATACAAGGTTACGAGATCAGCCATGACCGCCATCTTGATGACGTAGATGGCTCAATTTTTTGAGTTGCCAGATTCCTAAAAAAATATCTTATAAAAATACAGTATTTTAGTCAAAAATACATCAAGTTTTATTTCAAATATGTGTAATCCTGATATTTACCGTTTGACAATTTGATGCTTTTAGTGTGGTAAAACGTTTTTTTTCCAAGATTTCATGGATCATGAACAGAGGTGGGCACTACCACAAACAAGCGTGAGCTAAAAGCGAGAATGTGTTAGTGTGCCTAATTCATTTGCATGCTGTCGTGTTCTCATCGCTGCGCTCTCGCTTGTATACGTACACACGACGCTTACGCTCTTTTAGCACCTGCTAACTCTCTGCCCATGCCTGATCATGAATGAGCAATGAAAATAATCCTGCGATGTGAGGAATTTTTCCAGAATTTACTTAAAAAACTTCTTTACGAGTTCGTGTCAACGACTTCATATGATTTTCTTTGAAGATTCATAAAGAAATGGTTATAGAATTTGGAACGCATCCTTTCATCTGACCATATTCTGCATCAGAGTTGATGCATGCATCTTATCAACTCCTCGCCACCGTACTTTAATAGCTCAGCTGACAGGCTGTCAGCTCCAGCAGCTTTGTTGTTTTTCAAGCGCGCTATCGCTATTCGTACCTCGTCATAGTCATAGAAGTATTATATATATGCATAAAACACAGTCTTAGAAGCAGAGGCTTTCGACATACTGGTGAATGAGGGCAAGATTAGATACGACGAAGTAGACCAGAGTCTTTTAAGTTCTAAATTTAAGAGATGTTATCATATCGTCGCTACCATGACAATGTATCGAATGTGAAATGGGCAAAGAAACTGTTGTAAAAAGTGTTTTTAGAAAAAGTGTGGAATTCGACACTTTGTTAAAGTCAGTATTCTTTGCTTCTAAAACGACTCGCAATTTGACGATTTGCCCATTTGCGTAAATGCATGCGCGAGGTATTGTAATTGAAAAACCAATTTCGCACATTCGATAGTTTGACATGGTAGCGACGTTATTTAGAATCCATTAATAGTTGCTTGTAATATAAACGATCCATAATTGCTAAAATTAATGAACCAACAACCTTTTTGAAACTCACTCTATTTACACTGTTGCGATAAGCAACTTATGAAAAAAATGTAATTTGCATTGTCTTGTTTTTCAAAATTTTTGCTGAAACTAAAACTAAAAGCTATTATTTATTTATTTTTTTAGTATAACCTGTTCAAACCCATAATCGTGTTCTTTTACGCCTCCTCACCGGTGAACGCTTCAAGTGATATTCATTGTCATCATCGATCTGCAAATAATCCACGAGATTTTCCCACATTTCTTGCTCTCTGCAAATACGAATTTCGGCACTAGAAGGAATATTTCAATAAAGAAAACAGCAAAAGCAAGCAAATCCGCCAGACAGCGCAAGATTAAAAGTAAAACGCAATGGTAATGGATGCAACTCAATCCCAACAACCATCTCCACAATCTGTTGGCCGCGAGTTCGTGCGCCAATACTATACTCTACTTAACCGTGCACCAAACCATTTACATCGTTTCTACAATAACAACTCTTCGTTTATACATGGCGAATCGACTTTGGTTGTTGGCCAGCGCAATATCCACAATCGCATTCAGCAGCTAAACTTTCATGATTGTCATGCCAAAATAAGCCAAGTGGATGCTCAAGCGACCTTAGGCAATGGTGTTGTTGTTCAGGTGACTGGCGAGTTGTCGAATGATGGCCAACCTATGCGCCGTTTTACTCAGACCTTTGTCTTAGCATCCCAGTCGCCGAAGAAGTACTACGTTCACAATGATATCTTCCGTTACCAGGACATGTATTCGGATGAGGAAAATGATGGAGAAACGCGGTCAGAAAACGATGATGAACATGACCAACAGCAACAGCCGGCTCTAGCTTCTACTGCTGCTCCCGGAAGTGAACCAGTCGTATTGCAAGTGGGCGCTGGAACGGGGGCTGTAACTGTGGAACCACAGCAACAGCAACCAATTCAACAAGCTCAGCTTTCAGCGCAGGTAGTGGCCACACCAGCAGGTGCTGCGGTGTTACCCCAGCAACAGCTAGGCGCACAGGCTACAGGCGGTGCACCACAGCAACAAGCTATTTACTATTCAGTGCCAGCTGCTGGTGGCCGTCCTGTGCCTTTATTGGCAGCCACAGCACCACCGCAAGGAGCAGCCGCCGTGCCATTGGCTGCACAATTTTCAGCTGCAGCGCCCACCCCTAGTGTACCACAACAGGTGCAGCTGAATGGCGTTGTTGGCCATGAGGATATATTGTCGGCTGCAAATCAGCAGCAGCAGCAGCAACCAGGTGCAGGACAACAACAACTAGTCGCACCGACTGCTTCCCCTGTGGTCCCGCAGCCCGCAGGAGGTAGCGTTAATGTACCGACACCCGTTATTGCCGCTCAAACTGTCCCTGCTGCTGGCATTGCTGCTGTGCCAGTTGCTGCATCCACTACAATTCCACAGAACTCGGCTGCAAATATAACCGGCTTCCAACAATCAGCCCTGTTGCAGCCGCATGTACTTCAACAACAGCCATTGCCGCAGCCATTGGTGGCACAAACGCTGGCATCACAACAATCAACGACCGTAGAGTTCGAAGATGGTGGCATTAGTCCTCAATTGACCAGTGGTGTTGAATCAGACCCTCGCACAGGATCGGCTAATATATTAGCAGCAGCAGCTGATAATATACAAGTTGTTGATGATTTTAAGGCAATTAATGAACAACAGCAACAGGAAAAGTATGAAGCCGCTAAACAGCAACAACAACAACAGAACGAACCAAAAACGTATGCAAATCTCTTTAAGTCGACTTCATCCTCGCCGAGCGGTTTCGTTACTGCTGCCATGCAGCAACAGCAGCAACTCCAACAACAGCAGCTATCGTCTAATAATACGTATCAGTCGACGACAACCATTTCCTCTACCACATACTCACAGTCCAACTCCAACACTACTTCTTCGCTCTCGGTTTACAATACGCGCAACAGCGACTCTTCATCATTGCGGCTAGATAACAACAATTTTGGTTCGGTTTCACAAGGCGGTCCACTGCCGCAGCGTAGCAATACATCCCGAATCAATAAAGGTAAATAAATAATGATAACAATTTCCTTCCTATCTGATTGTATGTTAATTTTTGTTAGAATATGAGCCGCGCCGCACCAGCAATGCGCAACAATCTGACAACCAACAGCTATTCTTGGGTAATATACCACATCATGCTTCAGAAGAAGAGCTGAAAGCATTGTTTAGTCGCTTCGGTCAGGTACTGGAGCTTCGGGTTATGTCCAAGGCGAGTAGTGGCAAGTTACCACCTGGTGCAAGGAACCCACAGAATTTCGGCTTTATTACTTACGAAGATGCTGAGTCAGTTCAAAATTGCTTGTCCCAATGTGTAAGTAAATAGTTTTACCCTTTTAAGGCTATTTAAAAATCTATCAAAGATTAAATTTTCAAAATTTCAAAAAAATGCTAACACTGAATCTAAGGCGGATTAATATAAGGTGATGCTATTAGATCAGGTGATCAAATTTTTTTAATTCGCGTCACGGTTTAAAATGTCAAATTGAAATTGTTTACAAGGCGAGTTCATCTTGTTCCGATTGTTTTCATTGGCCTGTGACATGAATTTTTAAAATATTGCACACAAATGCTTAGCGGAAACAAAAACACCAACCCAAACAAACCACTACTACAAAGCCCATAGTAGGTTGTGGGAAATCGCGTTTGAAGTTTGGAATACTTTTCCTCAAAACCGCGAAGATAGATTTTCTCGAAAGTCTCTGAAAATTTTACTAGTTCACAAAACTCTTAAGTTATTTAATATTTAATGGTTATTGTTAATTAGTTTTGAGTTTATGAAGGATTTCCTTTAGTAAAATTTTGTCGTAAGCGCCATTTGACCGCAATTTGGAAGCCACTTTGTATGAAATACGACAAAATGTGATCAAAATTTCTACTAAATTAACGACACTTTTTATCCAATATCTCGGAAACTAAAGGAGATATCCAAAAATGGAGAACGTCATTTTTAAGATATTGATTAGTTTAATATGACTGCACCACTAACTAAATTTTTACTTAATTATAGAAAAAATTGTCAATATCTCGGAAACTAAAGGAGATATCTGAAAACTGATAACACCAATCGAAAGACCGTATTTCAAAATATATAACTGCATCTAGAACTAAAAATCGTCAAAATTGCGCTTACAACAATCTTTTACCCAGGCGACGATATATTAAAAAACAAAATTTTGTTCAACAATACGTATACGTGCATGTGTTTTTAATGCATTGTATGTTAGAACTTTTCTTCCCATTTTGTTTGCTATCAAGCTCTCGTTCCAATAACCCTTTAAATGCTTGACCTTTCACATTTCAACGGTTTTGTCGGCCAAAAACCAATTTGACAAAATTTCGGAGAAAACTTAAAAAATTAGTCACTTTCGATAGAGAACATTCCAAATAACATTTCCCAGTCCTCATCACTTTTCTTGCACAGCGAACGCCCACTGTTGACCGGAAACAGAATATTCGAACACTGCTTATAAATAAATTTTCGCTCTCTAGAAAGATCGTGACGGTTTTAAGTTAATATTTTGATTTATTTTGGAACGAATTTCCGCCATATTTTGATTTCTGCATTATATTCTTAAAAAGTAGTGATGGATCCGCATACAGAAGGTAATCGTGCATTTAAAGGTAAATTTTTTTAATCCTTTTATTAAGCAAAAGTTCAATTTAAATGTAACGGAAATAGCGAGTTTCAAACAAGTATTTTTATGTTACTTTTTGTGAATATTAAGGAATTAGTTGTATTCCCGGGAGAGATCGCGTTATTATTCTTTGTTTAACTGAAAGCTTAGAAATTTGGCTAACATAGTGTGAAAATGTCTATCTGCAATTTGCACAAAAACTAATTTGTGATTTTAGAAACCGTCTGGGACTTTTTACTTGTCATCACTGATATATTACTTCTGACTTCCAATTTATAATAGTTGCGTTCCTTATCTCCCAGAAATAGTCAGAAAAAGTCCGAAGTCGTCAGATTTAGTCCAAAAAGCGTTCCTTAAATCGAAAATGACGGCAAAAATGAGAGCAACACTTCAGTCCGAAGTAGTCAGATTTAGTGAGAACAATTTTTGCTGGCAAAATCTTGAAAAGTGCCAAACTCAACTGAATTTAAATTAACGGAAATTAAGGAATACGCAAAAAGTGATTATAATGTAAAAAAGTAAAAAAAAAAAATGAATTGAAATTGGAAGGAGGCAAAAAATAATTGATCTAGTAAGTGTTTATTGTGCTTGTGTGAATGTGTTTTGTACATACATGTCTATACTTATTTGACGTTAGTTTTGTTGTTGCCATTCTTTGGACTAAAAATTTTCCTGTTATTCTCTTTATTATTCATTCATTTTGCGTACACTCTGGAATTTTGATACTTTTCAGATTTTAGTACAAAAAGATAAGGAATGAACCTAATAGTGTAAATTCTTCTGTCAAGCGTTATATAAGGTAGCATTAATATCACCGATAACAGTTAAATCTTAGGTGGAGTTTTATATCAGAATCTGATCTTTGTGAAAAGTTTGCAGATATAGAGGGTATTATTGAATATAAGCCCTCGATATGTAAAATATATAAAAATTTTATTTCAACGTATCCAAAAAATAAATCTACCTGCGTTACAGCACGGTGGGAGAGGGGGAAGGGGGTGGCCGCGACGCAGCGTGACGTAGTGTGGCGCGTCGGGCGCGCGATGTACGCGGGGCGCGAGGTGTGGCGCCCGGACGTGGGCCGCCGCGAAGCTAAGCAAATTTAATGTTTGAAAGAGCAATAATGCCAATGGATTTTATTTCACTTTTGAAAAGGTAATACTGTCAATTGACTATATTTCGCACCAGGGTGGGAAATAAAGTCCATTGACTTCACTTCTGTTGATTAACTCGTATTACTCCGTTATTACCTGTCCACCCCGAGGGACGACCGCTGTTAAGAAAAAATCTTTTTTCTATATTTTTTTGCGATGTTGCTTTGACCAGGGTTTGAACCCAGCTGCTGATGAGTGAAAGCGCGCACTGCTTACCACTACACCACAGCGGTATATGGGGTATGGAAATATCCCTTTTCCCTAGCAGTACACGTTTTAGTGTGGGCAACAATGATATTTTTTAAATAAGGCAGATCGGAATATAGCGCTCTGGGATGACATTACCTGTAATTATTGTACCTCATCGAAAACGTGCTCGATGCTTTTATTCTCATTCTCAATATGTTCTTCTTGAGAACTTTCCGGCACCTTTTGTTCTCGTTCATACTGTTCTCAGTATATTGTTTGGATTTTTTATTGGAATGTTCTTGACAATACATTTTGTTTTCATGCATAACTAAACCAAAACCGGAACGCGTTCTCGGACCCTGATATAAAGGGAGCGATATGTAAAATGTCGGTTTATGGAACGGAGCTTTTGTATTATGTTCTTCTTGCAACGATCGAATATTGTTTGTCAAGGATATGGGGAAAAATTATCACATACCTATCTTTTATACATAAGTTTTGCCTCAAATGGAAAATGATTTAACTTAATTAATGGTTTTCTTTACGTGCTTCAGTCAACAAATCCATAACAATCGACAAATTAAATGACTCAATAGCCTTAGGTCCAATAGAAAGTTATGGCGGATTTATAGTTCTACGCCTTTTCCAACAGTATTTCAGAAAAACACAAATGTATTTCAGAAAAGGCCAAATGAATTTCAAAAAGGCCGAATGTGTTTTTCTGAATTTCATTTGGCTTTTTCTGAAATACATTTGACCTCTTCTGAAATACATTTGAGCTTTTCTGAAATACTGTTGAAAAAGGCGTAGTTCTGAACTTGACTTCCCAGAGAGAGAAACAGAACAACAACCGCTTGGAAGAAAAGTTCTGAACTAAAACGATGAATCCGCCTTTACTCCAAGTTTGATTAGCTAGAAAATTCAGTGTTGCATTCGAATCTGGTAACAACGTTTTCCAGTTCACTTCGTGTTCATAGCGAGCTTTCGGATTAGTAAATTTCTTACGATGGATTCAGCAATAGTCTCAATTATGTTTATGTCTCAAAACACACTCAACACTAAACTAAAATCTTATTATAAATTCCATTACTTTTTCGCAGCCGCTTTACTTCCCCGATAATTCTCCCGATGGTCAAAAATTAAACGTAGAAGAGAAAAAGCCGCGCATCATACGTCCAAACGATATGCCACCACGACAGCCGATGGGCGGTAGCAGCATGGGCGGTAATATTAACAATTCACAGCGCAACATGAGCGGTGGCCCACCAACTCGTTCCCTCTCAAACTCTGCTGGTGGAACAAGTGGCATGATGCGCAACACTGGCGGTAGTGGTACCAATACTAACAGCATGTCTCGAGGTCAATCTACCGGCGGGGGTCCACGTATCGGTGGTTTCAATCGCAGTGAGAATCGCAGTGGTCCAACGAATGGTGGTGGTCCACAAGTGCGCGGAGGCAATCAAAACAGCACACAGACATCAGGAGGTGGTGGCAGCAGCAGCTACGGCACACGTCGCTAACCATTAATATTCTTTTATCATCCACAACAACCGTCGCGCTACAACACCGTAAACGCTGCAGTTGCGACCACATCAACGACAACAACACCACCAATACAGGAAAATTTGACACAGCAGTAATCTTTATAAGATTATATGAATTTAAAAAAAACTGATTTGCGTCGTGATGATGACTTTAGGAAACAGAAATTTTTTATTATTTTTGTATTAGTGGAAATGCTGTTGCTTCCAAAGCAAAAGAAATGGAAAGCAAGCAGGAATTACAAATACAACCCAAATCGGAAATTTTCGAAAAAAAAATACAAATCAAACCATGCAACTATTTTCTTTTGTATGACAAACTTAAATTATTATTGTTTCATTATACCAATTTCTCTCTCAAATTGTTTTCATTCATACTTCTTCCACATTACGGTATAATGTTTTCTCTTGTACTACATTGCTCACAAAATTTAGTTTATTGTTTTTATATATTGAAGTAAATTTTTATTTAATATTTTAATTTATACAAACAAAACAAAACAAGAAAAACAACAAAACTAAGCATTCTCTCTTCTCTAGAATTCAAAACCCGAATAAATAAAATCGCTATTATTATGTACGTATTTTAATTTGGATATTTTAACTCTAAAAAATCCCCAATCATAAGAATAAATAAATCTTAGCTTACAAATAATATAAACAAAATATACGGAATTAAAAAAATAAGAATCATCGTAATAAACAAAAATAATAAACTAATTAAAAATGAAAATATGCAATAAAAAGCAAAAGAAAGACTTGTTAAGCCGAATAAAAGCGTTAAAATAAATTGAAAAAATATAATATAAAGTAAGTAATGTTCGTACATTTAAAGTTAATACCAGAAAAAATCGAAAAATATAAAAAAACTAAAAAAAAAATAAAGTTTTGTATAAAGCTCTGGAATCAAATTTATGGATTATGAGTGGAGTTAAAAAAGTGGAACAATGTTCGATATAAATTCTGAAGATTTCTTAATTAGTTAACGGCAGAAAACGGATTGAGTCATGCAGTGCGGGAAAAATTTTCACATGTGCTATATCGCCGCTCTAAGAGAATAAAAAGGTACTATTTTCTTATTAGCCAATTTTTTATTGCATAATAATTTTTATTATAAAAATACATTAGTTGTTTCTAATTGATTTAAAACAAAATGTCCTTTCAGAGCTGATTATGGCAATGGTTCAGATAATTTATGTCTATTGTGTTTTTTTTTTTCACTCGGTTCAAAACGATTCAGTCAATCGAACACGAATGTCGTAGACTCTTCGGAAGGCAATGAATTTTGTTACCGCATTGAAAAAACGTTTACCTAAATTTTAGTCTTAGAAAGATTATTTGGTCAAAATAACTTATTCGAAGTGCACTAATGCAAGGCGTCGGTCCTTTTTTCTAGATTCCGAGGCATGTTTTGCCCAAAGATTTTGTACTAACACTAAAAAGGACATGAAAGCCTTGCTTGGCTCTTTGAAACCAGCTCTGACATTTATTTGGTTGCAGATTTAATTTACAGCGAAAATTATTTAAAAAAATCCATGTCGAATTGATAGATTTGAAAACAATTACATAACTTGTTGTGGTTTTTTACTCCTACTTCAGTAATTTCATAATCTGACAAGCTTGATTTTTACGCCGTCGTCATTATTTTTTGTTTTATTTAGCGTTTATGTAATAAAAAGGATTAAAATCATTAATATCACACCAGCATTTAAGTATAAAAATAAATATTTTTTCAGGTCGCAAAAGTTTTAAGAACTTATCCATAGCATACCAACTTAATTATTTAACTTATTTATAAATACATGAATAATAATAGCAATGCTTCATTTATAACAAACAAAAATTCATACAAATATCCTGAAAAAATCGTTAAAAATAAAATTATTTAAATAAATCTGTTGTTTCATTTTGCTCAACAAACACTTAATACTAAACCAAAATTTCTGCGCATAGCATTGATTAGCATGTTAAGAATGAATTTATCGATTTAGGCAACATATCAAGATACACATATTTTTTTACTATTTCGTGCAGCTCAACACAGCTAACATTCAAGTTCATTGCAGAAATTTTCCATATTTGAAAAAAAAAAATATTACATAGATGTTTATTTTCCTATTCTCTTAACTTGCTCATATGCATACAACTCCACTCCTACAAGTGCTAACAATAATTAGTAACTACTAAAAGATTTGAATCGCACAAAACGAAAACTTCTCGTAAAACTAAATATAAAATTAACAAAATTAAACGAAACTAAGTAGTAATCTTGAAACACAAAAATTAGATATGCATTGTTTTATAGCGTTTCAGTTATAAAGCGGATTATTGAAAATACATTATTATGTATTTCTCTACTTATGCGGCAACGTGTTTTAATATAAGATAAATGGAAACTAATTCAAATCCAGAGATTAGTGCTTAAAACGCATTGAAAAGTTATAAGATACATTTAGGAGATCTAACAAGTATAACAACAAAAACCAACAAAGAAAGAAAACAAAAAAAAATACTTTTAAGGAGCGTCTGATGGATATTTAAAAAATATAT